ATGCAGATTGTGTTTTTCTTTAGAAACATACACTCTCCCCTCCCTTTCTGCAAGATCCAAATGCACCTAAAACAATTCAGAAACAACAAACAATTCAGAAAAGGAAGGAAAGTCTTAGTTTTCCCCAAAATGCTGCTGGAGCAATTGATATCCACAGGCCAAAAAAAAAAAGTGACTCTCAACTTCACACTTCATTGAAAAATTACTAAAAATGGTGAATAGCTTTAAATTAAGATGCAAAACTTATAGAAGAAAAACAACAGGAAACCTGGGGCGGAACTGGGTAAAGAGTACATGAAACCTCTCTGTATTTTATTATCTTTACAACTTCATATGAGTTTACAATTATTTCAAAATAAAATTATATCCAGATGACTTGATTTCACTAATGATATGTGAGCGGAAATATCAGATGTGGCATATCAGAAAAGTCTTAATTTGTGATTGTAAACATATTTCTGATACTACATGGCAGTCAGAAAAGTCTGAAAAGACACCTATTTTTGAGAGGCTACAATTTGAGGATGGCAGCATCTCCTTGAGGCGACAGGGATCAGGAATGATAAAATCCCAAAAAGAATAATCAAGTCTCATTCTGCCTGGATTCGGAGTATCCCTGACCCTGGATTCCTTCCCCCAGTAAATCTGCGATACATATTGTATGGGAACTCAAAACCACCCCGTCCTCATCTTGGCATGAGGAAATCTTCACTTCATAGGAGCGTCATCCCACCTACACTGTCTTAAGTTCCAAAACGAAGTCTGTTCCAAGCGAGAGCTTCCTTGCTAAAAAAGAGAGCTTCCTTGCAGAAAGCCTGAAATTGGCCCGAAATTGCTAAAAAAGAGAGCTTCCTTGCAGAAAGCCTGAAATTGGCCCGAGGTGACAAGCGATGTTTTACTGTCTCCGCGAGGGGGCGCTAGTTCCAAGGACCGGGACAGTGCTCCAGCAGCATTAAGTGGGGCACCGAGAGGGCGCCCCCAACTCTGCTCCCAGCTGGAGTGCTGGAGTGCCGGTGGCTGGCAATGGGATGAAGGTGCTGGGCTGTAAGAGCAGCTACGTTTGCCACTCTACCAGGAGAGGAAATGCAGCCGAGGCCGCCCCTAAAGTTCCATCGTGGA